GTTCCAAAAACCAAAATCCTGTCCCGATCGTATAGTAATCAATTCGAAAATCACTAATAATCGGCCGTTGTTGTGTTTTATGTTACAGCGATCACTCGATAAGCACCCGGGTAGAACGGCTGGACGAAGCAATAATGGAAGCGTCCAGAGCACTGCAGGGCGAACCGAGCGGATTATGACAATACTCGGAGACGAGCTGCTGAGTACGTGTAATTCGGCGCCAACTGCATAATTTTATACAACGCATAATAATTATTATAATAATAGTATTGTATACTTATTATTATTACATATTACTACTGAAATTATTGTCGTTATATATTATTATACCGCGTGATCGTCATCCAGCGATGTGGTTGTGCCACGAGACGAGCAGACTTCCACGTACATTTACGAGCTCGGCAAATATGTCACGTCACGTACGAACTGCTCGAGTTACTTCGGTTCGAATCGAAACACTTGCAGTCATTACATTATACATCACATATTATTACAATACACGTGTACACACATTATATTTTTAAAATATATTATGTGTTTTGAAGTGTACGTTAGCAAAAAAAAATGTGTACAGTTATATTATTACGAGTTGTTAAGTTTTCATTTTTGAAACGCAGTAAAATTATATAATATTATACAATAAGAATTATTGAGTATTATTGATTTAGATTTATATGCGAATGCAATACTATTATTATTATTATTATTATTATTAATATTATAATAATAACATAAAATTGTACATGTGAACAATACATTTGAGCTTGCATATTTTGTACAATAATATTATTAATAACCTATATATTATATATGTATATATTATAATATATAACGCACACTTTAACGAATAAAAAAAAAAGTATAGAAACGCCGTTGATAATAAAAATAAAATAAACGATTTGTTTTACTTTATTGTTTTTTTATTACAATATAAACATAGTCACCATAAACGCAATATTTTCATTGCATTCATTTTATTATACGTTCTGTAGTAACTAGTAACTATATAGTAATACATATATTTTGATTCCACGTGGCGAGCACTGTATAGAACTATAGAAGACGTATGTTTTATAATATTGTTAACACGAATGCAYACAGTCACGTACGTACTACCCAGAGCACTGAAAGGGTGTGCTAACAGACGTGAGTCTTGATCACTGTCCACTGACGACCACCCCGACCTACCCCTTCCAATTACTTCATGCTCATTTAAGTTAATACATAATATATAAGTACATACATGATACATACATATATTATTTAATTRAGGAAATAKAAATTTTTTGTTTACTTAAGATCARAAATAAGGTTATGATAATTATGTACTCAATATTATGTTTTGATAACGAACATTTATTTATAACTTATAATGTGTGGATATATATACCTATAGTATAGGTATATCAAAATAAATATTTAAATAAAAATTCACAATTCACAATTTACAATTCCATTTTTTGTAAGAAATTAATTACTYGGGTGACCGAGAACTTATATGAAATCTGAGGTTGCTACACAGCTTCAAGTAAACCTACCCTATACCCATGCAAATATGATATTTTATTAATATTTTACGACTTTCATGCGAATTAGTGAGTATATCCACCATTTAAGTATTAAGTATAGATCAAGTTAACAGAAACCGTGGTTTTGTCAAATATTGAATTATTTWWCTGTTTTAGTAGATATTTGATAAATTACGCTTTGCCCCATAAAATACGAAATTATGGCATAGTGTGCGATATACGCGGTAAGGTATAATAAAATATTGTCTTAAAAATATCGTAAAAGGATACTTTTTTGTAATTTAGTTTTGATGTCACATTAAAAAATTAAAAAAAAATGTATACAAGATTATTTCATATGCATAATATGGAAAAAAGTATTTAAAAAACAGATACACAGAAGAATATTGTTTAAATATAAAGCCAATAATTTTCCAATAGTTTAGTAACCGAATGGTAGTAGTATAATTAATTACCTGATAAATAATTGTCTATTTATCAATGACAATAAGATTAAGTCTGTTGAAATTAATTCTAACACCAATACATTAGAAGGTACATCACTACTACATTCCTATAAAATAATTGTGTTCAGTATCAACTTTAACGACTGTTAATTATAATTTAATACATTTATACGATCATGGATCATTGACTCACAAAACCTCACAATTGACTTTATTAACCAAGTAATGAGAATTTTTCGTTTGTAATTATTATTCAAGTACAATCATATTTAAAATGCTAAAAATATATTTATAATAATAATAATCACTCAAGTGCTTAACAAGACCGTATAACAATATAGTATGCAATAATAACGGTTTACTTTAAATTTTTATTAATAATTGTTAAAAATATGTTTGTCGGAGTGGGACTAAACATTTTAACACGCCAACGCATAATACTGTAGGTACAATCGTACTACAATCGTATTACTTCTAATTGTCCAATTGTTCAACAAAAATAATAATATATTACATCAGTATATACGTCATAGGTACCTACTACCTACACATTCGTCAAATATCGCTCGAAATAATATTTTTAAAAACCCACTTACTGCGGGATCAATAATAATAATAATAATAATAATAATATACATATTTTATTGAGTTAAGGCTTCAACATCTGAGGTCATTAGCCTGAGTTAATTAATAGGGTTATTTATTACTGTGGGAGAGAGTACGGTTGATTTAGTACTCGTGTATATATTATGTGGTGACGATTTGTCACTAATAAAATCTGGATGGTCACCCATACGAGAACAAGTAACACCGACTGATGCTTGACTTCAAAAAATATTAGTGACTGAAACCTACGACCACGACACGYAAGGCCACATCTTAGTATTGTAAGGAATTATTTGATTTTTCTCGACATTTTGTTCGGGATATAAAATACAATAATTATAAATTATACGTTTATCACGTACTCGTATTTATCATAAATATTGCCATATTGAAGGAACCTATCGGTGTATGAGTATACGAATAAAAAGATTACGACATTATAACATAGAAACTATAGTCTATATTCCTATTCATTATTGATTTGTTTACAATCCCACCACATCTAACCTATATGAATGATACCAAGTGTAAAGTACGAAAAATAAAAATCGTCCCGACCGAAATCAAACCTATATTTAAACACTCTAATAATAACTACACGGAGTAGCGTTAAAATGGTCCGGCCAGACTGCAAATATCAATATAATAATGACTCGGACTTGGCAACGTTCCGTGACATTGCAGAGGAGGTAATTTTTTTATATAATGTATTATATTTTCAAACATGTAGCAATTTAGGAAACATTTTATATAATGACCGGATATATAATGGACCAAGCGATGGATATAAATATATAATACATTATTAGGGGTTGMATTTTGAAGTACTTGGCATTGTTTCCAAAGCTACACGACGCTCGTTTTATAAAATAAAAATACCGTTTCATGTTCTTTTCTATCAGAATAAGAAAGTTTTATTTTGCATTTTATTCATTTTTTAGATTCTTTTAGGGCCTTTGAGGCATTTAACACTAAAATCCGATTTTTTTTAAATACCTAATTTTGTTTCAATGTTTTCTACTCGTAACTTCGTAACGTGCCAACAAAGTTTTAACATAACTGATTATTATTATTTTCAATCGTAATTTTTCGAACAGATGCACTGATGTAAATATTGAGATCACGATAAACGACTGCAAATTAAATGGAAATAATTCTTTTTTGATATAAAGTTCGTATAGACAACTTCAAAATGTGCAGTAGTGATTATAGTTATCTAATAATTAAATATTTATAACTATGCAAACCATATTATACGCATTCCCTACATTAATTTTGATTTTAGGTTTTTGACGCGGCTCCCTTTGCCATCTCTCGTCGCGATACTGCTGGGAAACGTGACGTAAAGTTTGAATACCTCTGGTATACGACGGTATATACCATATTATATATTAAACTACCATAATATTACTGTTCGTGGGATTTTTCCAGTGGCGATGGATCGACGGTGGTTGTTAAACAATTGACCTTTATACACGCGACCGGACGACGTGTTTATTGCGAGGTGAAGAGAGGTAGTTAGTGATTGAGTGAAAAAAAACCCCGTTAACCTTTACACACCAACAGCATAATATAGCACGAAACATAATATAAATGTATATATATATTAAAATATACGAGTTCTGAACTATACAGTAAATAGCCCCACAGCAACCTTTACAGCGAATTTTAGTCGACCATTTTGCGTTCCCTACACGACGCGATTCGTCATTTATCATAGACACCGGTGCACAGCCATATAGCCGACGACAATAATGAAARTACGCAAAAAGTAATAATGCSAACAGGTCGTGAGCTAAATATATAAAACGTATATATACACGAACATATAACGCTGACTACAAATATATGTATTGACCCTTACCTTGGTATACCTAGCTACCTACAAGTATACAAGGTGATCTGTTCAAGTGTATTCAGACTCATTGTTTCGAAATTTTTCTAATTTTTGAAACTGCTATTTTCATAAGATTTCGTTTCATTTCAAAATGACATATCTGAAAATAAGTAAATATTTTTTAAGTTTTGAATTACACCATATATTTTTTATTTCATATTCCGAAGCAAAACAGAATTCGGAGTATTTCAATCTATCAAAATCAAATTTCAGAGAAAAATAATTCATTAGTTATGACTTATAAAGTTATAACTTTATAAGTACATATWATGTACAATTTTTATTAGCGAAGCATCATATTAGACAACATTTTGAGAGGTTAATAATAACGAAATGTTAACCTGTGGTAGTCCCTAAAAAGTTAAAATAACATAATTGAGTTTACTTGGAAAATTAAAAGGTTATAGTGACAATACATAACCAATAAGTGTCAAATTATAAAATTAAATTTAACTTTAAAATAATGGAGTTTAATTAACAAGCTATATATATATATAGACCATACGGCAAATTATAWGGGCTGCTCTGTCGCCAAAAAACTGAAACGACCCATTTCCAAAACAATCAACAACGGCGATTCAAAAATAAAATTATGTCCGGGTGCCCCGTCAGTCAAGGTCCCAATCACTCAACCTCCGCCCAAAAACAAATCATATGCTGAATCGACGAAAAACGAAGAAAAATTTCCTTTCACCAATATTTCCAATATCCTATCTAATTTCATTTCCAATCTTAATTCCATTATCAGCCCTCTAATCTCTCTTGCTAATTCTTTCCTTGCTAAGTCAACATAACACAGTATTTATGCCTTATGGTATATATATATATATATGATTTAACGTAGATAATTACTAAACAGCTATCAATCTATTTTCATTTTGTAATAATATTCTTGTATAAATGTCTCACTATTTCATATTTAATTCA